CGTCCCTTAAGGGACGGGGAGACGCAACCCTAGAACAGCAGTCCTTGGTGGGTGCTTTTTCCCCTTTGGAGGCAGCTCTGAGCTCGCGAAGAGACGACTTTTTTGGCAGCCTTCATTGAAAAACGTGAACGTGGAGAAAGGTTTTGCTATTTGGCCACCTGGTGCTCGGCAAGACCGGCTGAACTCCCCCCGGGGAGACCCCGAAACAGGAGGATCGCTGGACCGGTGTTGGAGGAAGGCGGAGCCCTCGCTCAAAATGGGCTTCAAGGAGAGAGGCCGGGCCTCCCTCTGGGAACTTTTGAGTAATTCAGGAAGACCGATAGTCATCAAGGGGCTGTGCAGTATCTGTTGTGGTATATCAAGAGACCATACGGAGGTGTTTTGATAGATGATTCTTTCTATGTGAATATTCTATACATGGTGAATAAATCGTAAACATCAGGGGTCATTTCGTAGAAAAAGAGGTGCAGGCGCTCATTAGCATAACTCATTTGCATGTGCCACGCCCCCTGACATCACCGGAAGTGTGTCAGAAGGCAACACCCACCGCTCAGGCTCCACTGGACTGTTTTGGATTGCTAGCTATTGGGGGGGGAACGTGCAGATCTGTCCTCGCAGAGGAGGGAGAGCTCGTACCTGAATAAAGCTTGGTCTTAAAGGTGCCACTGGACTGTTTTGGAGGTGGGGTCCGGGGGGAGCTCTGCAATTTACCTGGCTGCTTCTTGCTCTGACTGAGGGCTGCTGGGAGCAGGGGGTGGGGCTTGTTGCATGTGCCCGCCCCCTGGGCTCTTTACTGCCGGAGCTCCGCTCCTGTGCACTCCTGTAGGAAATGACCCCAGGTAAACATATAAAACAAAAAAAAATATATAAATTATTTTTTTATAATCGTCTGTAGCACGGTATTTGCTGATTTTTTGGTATTTCCGACTTACCGTGGGTCCTATTTTGGTTTTGTGAACTGGGGAAGGGGAAGAGGCGGTGCGCCACCCCGAGGTCCTTGGGAGAAGAGGCGGGGCCAAATGCACAGAAACACCCCCCCCCAAAAAAAGAAAAAGCCAGCGACCTTTCCGGTCAATCAGCGTTGGATTCAAGATTTAATTTGATGCTACGTGCTGGATTGAATTCCGGCGTGCCAGCCGCCCGCTGGCCCTATGAAGGGATTCGAAAGAGGGGGCCACCTGCTTCACGTGCGGAGGTGCCACCCCCTTGAGTGCACAATTGCTCTGCTGCTGCGCCCCTCCGGGTGGGGGGGGTGGAACACGGGGCGCAGGTCCTCCCTGCCTCTTGAGCTCTCACGAGCAGCTGGCTCTTTTTGTAGAAAAAGCCCAGCAGGAACTCATTAGCATAATAGGCCACACCCAACAGTAAAATCCATTAGCATATTAGGCCACACCCTGACAACACCGCTCATTAGCACATTAGGCCACACCCCCATGTTACAGAAGTGTGGTTATCCAGCCACACCCACCTTTTGCTTCTTATTCTGTTTACCTTGTCTGTTGTCAAAACCCAGGGCCTTTTTTTGGAGCAGGAACTCCTTTGCATGTTAGGCCACACACCCCTAATGTAGCCAATCCTAATGAGTTTCTGCTGTTGGGTGTGGCCTATTATGCTAATGAGCTCCTGCTGGGCGTGGCCAACTTGGGAGCCAGGTTCCTGCCCAAAAAGAGCCCTGGTGGGAGAGAGGTGGTGACCAGGGTCACTACAGACATTCTTCCTAAAATTAGTGGTTGGTGTTGGGGCGCGAGCCTGGCTCATCTCTTCTGGAAGACCTCTCAAAAATTCAAGCGGTGGAGATAACCCAGAGGAAATCCCCGCCCCCTTTTAATTAAATGAATGCATTTGACACATACTCAGACATATTTGTTCATTACTCTTCACTCACCTGCTCTGGAGCTGAGTTCTGGCACGCAGGATGTGTGTGTGTTTTTTTAAAAAACAATTTTATTGGGATATAATGACACGCAGGATGTGTTGAGGCCTCAGCCCCTGTTCCAATGAGCCTCCTGAGTGAACACTCATAGGGTTAGGGGAGGGGCAGGAGAAGCCCGTGTGGTGTTATTTGCCTGTGCTATGGTGGCTTGGCTGTATGCCACTCCTCTGCTCCATGTCTTCCATGCCCCTGCCATGTGGACAGGAGGGGTAGCAGCTATTGGGGCCACACAATCCCTGGTATGGTCAGTAAGGACTATTTTTATCTTTGGCCTAACGCCCTTGTAATGTGGGGGAATGGAGGTCCTGTGGTGTGCCTGAGCACCTGTAGGAGGCAGCATGGCCAAGGGAATGAGGGCAGAGCTCCAGCACTGACTCCGGTCGAATTGGCATATGCATTTTTAAATTAGTTTCATGCTGCTGTGACGCTGTCTTTCTCTCTGCTTGTTTGAATGTTGTTTGGAGAAGATTCTTTTAAAGCAGTGCAGAGGTGCAATGACAGTGAAAGGGCAATAGACATGGGGACGTGCAAAAGTATGCTAGCACTCTTGAGGTGTGAAAACGACACCAAATGTAGACAGCTTTATTGAAGACGGAGTCAAAAGGCTGGGACACTGGTGAGAAAGACAAATGTAGATTTGGCCTCAGTGGCACTGTAGCCCCTGCAGAAAACCAAGAGGCACTCATCTTTAGGAAGTGATTTTGTTGGAAACGGAATGCAAGGCTAGTATAGCTGGACCATCAAAAGGCAGATCCAGGTGGGCAGCGGTGTTCGTCTGAAGCAGTTCACCCTCTGCCTATATGTATGGACTGTTAACTTCCACTTCAATGTACCTGAGGAAGTGTGTGTGCATACAATAGCTCATGCCTTGGATAAAACTCTGTTGGTCTTAAAAGTGCCACTGGACTCAAAACTTTGTTCCATCACAAGGCAGTTCCTGTAAGAGGAACTGTTGTGCTCAGCAGAAGGCCAGCTACCTAGGAGGAAGACACCTTGAGAAAAGCTAGATATAGGAAAGGGAGTGTTGGATCTTCCCACTGGACTGGCAGACTTTAACACGCAGGAAGCTGTCATACTCAGTCATGCCATTGGTCTATCTAGGTCAGTATTGTCTGCTTGTACTGGCAGCAGGTTCGATTCCAGGTTAAATGCCAGGTTTGAACTGGGGTCCTTCTGCATGCCAAGTGAGCCACAGCCCCACCTACCTTGCATGAAGCCATCATGATGAAAGGGTGAGAACAGCATCAGAGATTACTTGATTCTTGGACCTGGTGACACTCTTGAACCTATTACTGGCTCCAACAGTGACACCTTTGCAAGAGTCTGAAAGAGTGAAGGTGCTCTGAGACATCACTGGGAGCTCTCAGTAGAGGCTCTTCCTGATGGGTAAAAAGGTAAAGGTAAAGGTTCCCTTGCTCGAAAGCCAGTCGAGTCCGACTGTAGGGTTGCCGTGCTCATCTCCGTTTCCAAGCCGAAGAGCCAGCGCTGTCCGAAGACGTTTCCGTGGTCATGACTAAACACCAAGGCGCACAGAACGCTGTTCCCTTCCCACCGAAGTGGTACCTATTTATCTACTTGCAATTTCTTGCTTTCGAACTGCTAGGTTGGCAGGAGTTGGAACTAGAGACGGGAGCTCACTCCATCATGCGGCACACTCGGGTCTCGAACTGCTGAACTACTGACCTTCCACAGCCTGCAGTTCAGCATCTTAACCACTGGAGCCACCGCAGCTCCTGATGGGTGGGGACCATTAAAATGTCAGCCATAGAAGCACCGCAGAGAGGTAGTTAAACCAGAGTGTCTTCCAGATACTTTGAGCAAAGTGTTCTAAACAGTGACCTTTTTTCAGGTGCCTGGTCCCAGGATGGCTCAGTTAGCTGTCTCCAGGGGAAGGGCCTTGTCAGTTGTGGCCCCTGCCCTGTGGAAGGCACTCTCAGGTGACACCCGCGCCCTGCCAGACTTGTTTGGTTTCCACAAGGCATGCAAGGCTGAATTGTTTAGGTTGGCCTTTGGATGGTAAACCGCATATTTGGGATGTTATTATTAGTGATAGGGTGTTAGCCACATATTTTAATAGTTTCACATTTAATTTAATGTTAATTTAACATTCATGTTTTATCTCTGTTATTTGTTTTTATGTTATTTTTACCTTATTTATATGGTTTTAATGTTGTAAGTCACCACAAGACCCTTTGGGTGAGCCGCCACTAAAAAAAAATCAAATACATAAATAAACTTTGGGGACAATTTTCAGATCTGACAGGTGAGCACAAGATCCAGGTTGTCCAGTGTCATGACAGCAGATCACAACAGAAGGGGCCCCTGGAAACATCATCTAAATTATGAAGCAGAGGCTGGCCAGATAGGCGATGCCATTGAGCCTCCCCATGCAAAACTGGATTTGTTGCCCTTGATCACAGGGATAGTTGAACACAGTCCTCATCAATGCTCCCTCTAAGCTGTGGAGTCTTGTGAGCAAAAACTCTACTTTGCGAGCTACTGGCATTCAAGTTGTAAGCAAGGGATTTGGCTACTGCATCAATTAGTTTGCTCTGGAGCCCTCCTTCCTGAGCAAAGGCAAAAATGTGTGAGCTGGAGGCTAAAAAACTGTGAGCTATCTCACACTAACTCAGTTTAGAGGGAACACTGGTCCTCATGTCTTGATGTGGAGGACAATGCTACCCAGTCCTACCCATCACCTTTTCAGCCGTACCTTAAAGCTGCCAATGTTTTTACTGAGGACTACAACCAAGTGTGTAGTAGGAAATGTAACTTTCAGTGTCTAGCAAACCAGCAGTGTTACTTAAGTTTGCTGTACATCTTGCATAAACATCTTGGGGTGCCTAGAGAAAGTAAGTCCAAATTTTGGATCTCACAATTAATATTAGGATGCAGAGTGTGGAGGAGTGAGAGGTCATGAAATTGTATATATGTGTGTGGAAGGAATAAAGAATTAGATAGGATACAGAAGCACTGTTCCTCATAAAAGACATCCTCAGAAACTGCTGTTTACTGAGATTAAACTCCTCCCCCCCCCTATACTCAAGAGTCTCAGGATTTCGATTTCTGGGCCAATAACTACATTTACCACACAGACGGCCTCTGTATTATCAACTGGTTTTATTTATTTATTTATTTATTCATTCATTTATTTATAGCAATAGAACAGGTAAGACAAATCTGGAAGCTTGATACACTTGTGGCATAGCTGTTAGCCAGCCATGACCCCGCCTGCCCAAGGAATGGACTCAGCCCTGGGGCCGAATGGGGGATTCTTGCCAGGGAGGGTGTGCCCACTAAGGCAGAATTACATTGGTGAGTGAACTGATGGGGCAGTGAGAGAAACAGCAGGACACCATATACTTCTGTAGCACCACTGAGGGTCCCATTTGCTTTCTCCAGCTCTGAGGGCTGAACAGTGCCATTTTCCAGGGTCAGTCAGAGTCCAGGGTCGGGCAGTAGGATACCCTGGGCCATATTTGGTGAGTGCAGAGAGTTGTTTTTTTTTTGGGGGGGGGACCATACAGATGGGAGGGCAGGGGCTCAGATCACATCAAGACGTGCAAAGGACTGGTCCATGCCCAGGCTGTTCTCTACAAAGACCTCATACTTTCCAGCATCTTCCGGTTTCACTTTCTTGATGGTGAGAGTTGTTGAGTCACTGCCGATATTATAGTACACACTGCAGAGATGAGAGAAGTGAAGCTCTTAAAATAGCCCAAGTGTACCCAAAGTTGAGGAATACTGTGCTCTTGCTACTTCAAACTAACCCTCTTCTTCTTATCCTACCCCCACATACAGCTTCAGAGCTCTACTGTGTTTGCTGCTCCATGTAACTTAACTTATGGTCAGTACAACCAGCCACAGAGAGGGCAAAGGACAGGCCTCAGATCTATGTTAAATGAAGAAATCTCACATTTTCTGATGACCACAGCTGGAAACCCCATGCATGTTTCTTCCTGTGCATTTAGTAAAAACTGGCATACGTTAAAAATTCTCTGTAATAACAACGGGGACTAGATACCCCCTTCCTAAAATAGTGGCAAATTCTTGCAATTCTGCATTAGACATAATGTTCCAAGCTAGGGCAACAGCCATCTAGACCACCTGGTTATTACCTGGTGTGGATATGTAAGCAAGAATGGGGAAAAGGGAAACCAGCAGTATTTCTGTTTCCTTGCTTCCACCTGTCCACACTGTATTGGTGCTCTCCAGGCTCAATACCCCATTAGTAAACCCTTGCTCACCGATCATCCTCTTCAATATCCTCCCCATCCTTGGCCCAGCCGACATCAGGTGCTGGCTCCCCACTGATGTGGGCTGTCAGGTTGACTGTGCTGCCCTTCTTGGCCTTTGTGCTGTCTGGGCCCTTCTCAATCTTGGCAGGTACTGTGAAGGAGAGGGAGTGAGGTTAGAACACAGGTCCTGCTGCTTCCTAGGAATCCTCTGGCCATGCGTCTCCTCTTTCGAGAGAAACACTAGGAAGGGGAGGAGAAGCATACATGTGAGGTTCAATGAGTGGTGCTTACTGCTTTCATTAAGGTGCCCCTTTCGCCTCACTTCTGAAGCCCTGTTTTGCTTTGTTTTACAAACTGCTGTGCCAGTCCTAGCACAAAGGACACGAGAATCAGGTCTGCTGTAAGTGGTCTTCATGGAACACTCCAAGGAAGGCAAGCGTGGACTCTAGATTCCATTGGATCCTAGACTTCAGCCAGGACTTGTGCCGTCTGAGCATACACTCTTTTTGCTACTTCCAGAGATGAATCATCATGTCTTATTGTGTAACCATGATGCCTTTTGTCTATCCATCCAAAATAAGGAGACAGATGCTTGGAACAGCATGATTAGGATGAGGTTATTCTCTGGGAGTACAGAGTTCGGATGTCTTAGAAGTTAAAATGTGAGGATTTTATTTTATGATTTATTTATTTATTTGCATTTTTACCCCGCCCTCCCCGCGAACGGGCTCAGGGTGGCTTACACAGGGCCTCTGTTTTTCCATTGTTCATACATCCCTGTGGGAACTCCCTGAGCTGCAGGTTCAGTCTAAAGATCCAGAACAAGGGGGAAATGCAACTATGGTGTGCAGTTCCCCTGAGCTGTTGTGTGAATTTGGGGATAAGTGTCCAGACAGTACTGCTGTTGTGTGGCTTGAATGGGTCAAATGCTATGCATAAACAACAGGGAGGGGCATGTCCCATTCCTGGAGAAAGTATCCTTTTCAGCCTGGAATTTTTGGAATATCCTGATACATGATGTAAAATTAAACCCCTCCTGGGTGCCAGTCTCCGGGGTCAGTCCTCTACCTAGATAACCAAACTAATCGTAGTAGCAAGGGAGTTGTTCTCTGCGTATCTGGCATCATAGCCTGGTGAGCAAGGGGACAAAGGATATATTTATACTTGAAAAGACAAAAGTTATTTCTTTAAGTGATGCACAGGGAACTTGGTTCCCCCCCGACACGAGACATGAGTCTATGAATAGAACTGGGCAGGGCTGCAGCAACGGGCGGTATCACTTTCCCCAGTGAGGGGTGCCAAACTGAAACACTCCTAAAAAGAGGAGCTTCCCCAGAATGGTTGGGTTGCCCAAGGGATGCCTGTGGCTAAGTTTAGAACTGGGGCTATGTAAAGAAGGACGTTTGAAGTTTGAGCAAACTTCAGAGGACGGCGGAAGACAGGAAGGTCTGGAGGGATCTGGTCCATGGGGTCGCGAAGAGTTGGACTCGACTGTGTGACTGAACAACAACAAAGAAGGAGGAATGGGCCACATTACCTTCCACCAGGAGACGTGCAGAATCAGAGCACTCCCCAAAGGGGTTCTTCACAGAGATGGTGTACTTGCCCAGGTCAGAAAGACTGGAGTCACGCACAACCAGGGCTACAATATCAGGGTCCTCAAAGATGTAGCGGTACTTTGGCCCATCCTTGAGCTCCACATTATCTTTGGACCAGCGGATGAATGGGTCAGGGAAGGCACTGATGCGGCATTCGAGCTTGGCTGCACTCCCCTCAATCAGCACCACATCCTTCAGGTTCTCCAGCACCCGCGGGGGGCCCTTTTCTTTCATCTCTAAGCGGGACCTGGGAGTGGAAAGAAAGAAGGCAGGTGGACATCCAAGACCCCTTTTGGGATCCTGTAGGTTCCCTTCTCTTTAACTGGAGTCTGTGCCAGAATGGTCCTTTTTGTCAGGTACCCTGGGCGGAACCATGAAAACAGAGGGGGGGGGTGACTGCTTGTGGTAAAACAACCACACAGGACACATTTAGGCAAGCAACTTTTAATATACTTGGAATGAGAATCCCGTCAACTGGCCAACAAACAAAAAGAATACTTTATTAATGTGTACATAATTGTTTATTAAAATGTTTTGAATATCAGTGGATAGAATCTGACTGATTGAAAAAAATCAGACTATATTAATTCCTTTTTCTCTAGCAGTCCGCTTTCTCCACTCTCCCCATAACTGACATCCAAATAAAAATACCTGTGGGGAAAATACCAGTGTCTAGCTTAGATTCTCCTGATACTGGCCTCTTTACACTGAAATGAACAACCTAATGTGTCATTTATATGACAAATGGGAAAAGCCAGGAATGGAATGAGGCACTCAGTTGGCAGCCAGTGAATGGCTCAAGGATTGAATGGAAGGGAAGACGAGAGCATTTAGGATGCTGCCAGGACTACTGTACTGGAAACACTAACTCCAGAGGGAGAAAAGGCAGGAACTGGCCTCACAAAACAACAGCCACAAATGAGCATACCACAAAAACTCTGGAGATTTGTGTCATTAACTTCCCAGACTTCCAAAGAACTTCTAACTAGAAGGGAAACAGCAAAAGCCAGCTGCTCCCCCCCCCCGTTCTTGTACTTGATACATCCCTAAAGCTCTCCAGCCTGTTTCCTGGGTTTCCCTTTATCCCAGAGTCTTCACTCTTACTTCTCTCACACCCACCTCTGACCTTCTTCTTCCAGCCCGTGGCTGCAGTCTGCTTGGCCCACCCCCACTGTCCAGACAGAGCCACAATGACCACACTGCCCAATAGCGCTCAGTCTGCTCTTCCTTAGACTCCGAAGACCCTCCTGACTCGCCACGCCACCAGACTGATCCATTCACGACACAGTCCTGCACAGATTTACTCCCGTCTAAGGCCATTGGTTTCAATAGGGTTAGACTGGAGTAACGCTGCTTCGATTGTACTGTCTCTTGTTTTAGCATGGTCCACCATGGGCACACGCCTTGGACCCCTTCTCCCTTCCAAAACAGTCCGTGGCTGCTCCTCCCTGTACTCTGTCCCCGTCTGCCAGAGCCCCCAGGCGTCTCCTCTCACCACACCCCCTGGAAATCACCCCTCTAGCCTGGGCTTTTCCAGTCAATTTCTCTTTCCTTGCTCCCCATTATGATTATTGTTTGTGTGTGTAGGCCATTTATCTGCCTCTTCCCCAGGAATCTGCTCCAGGCATCTCACAAAGCAGAAGCAATACATTAAATCCTAAAAGCCACAACATCAAAATCATCAGTATCAAAACGAGGCTATCAAAATAGCACAAAAGAAACCTAGCCGCCTAGGTGCAGCCTACCCACCTGCCCTGCCCCTCTTACCTGTGTCCACGGTAGGAAGCCTGAATGCGAATGGCAGCATTCTGCACCTGAGGGTCATTAATGTCCAAGGAGCAGCCTGGTGGAGGAGGGGCTGCTGGCTTCTTGGGGGCCATCTGTGGGGAACAGCAGACTCAAAACACTGATGCCCCTGTGCTGCAGACTCTGTAACCCTCCTTCCTGCTTCCCTCCTACCCATTCTTGTGTGCCCTATACCCAGATGAAGAGTCCGTGTCGGTGTCATCTCTCACCCCTCTGGAATCTTTGAGGGCAAATCAGCCGGACTCACCGGAGGCTAATGAGAAGTAGGAGATGTTACTATCCTCTTGTGTGTTATTAGAACCCCAAGACAGAGTTAGGACATGTCCCATTGGAAATCATTAGCCGCTGTATGTTTGTAGCACATCAGGGTGAAGACTCAGGATGTAGCTTCCTGAGTCACTGGGGGAAACTTGCAGGCGGGTGTGTGTGCGTGTGTGTGTGTCAAGGTGTATGTGTGTATTGGCTGGGTTCTATCAGGTGCTAAAAGGGCCCTGTCCCTGTCCACAAGGCAGAATCTCTTACCGTCAATAACACCAACGCAGCTCTGCTGTGATGGAAAAGGCCACAGGCTCCTCATCCCACCCAAATTTATATCACTGGAGGGGAGCGATGAGGCCTGTTCATGCCTCCAGCTGCATTCCTGCCTTGACGTCTCCTTCTTAGGCAAGGGGTGTGTGTGTGCCACCTGCCCAAGCGGGAATCCTGGGCACTCCCTTATATAGCCTGTTGCCAGGTACCTGTGAGAATTGGGGCTGCGGGCTGATTGCAGCCCAGTGCTGTGTAATCACATTGACTGGCCCAGGGGGACTGAGATGGAGCAGCTGCATCATTACTGCCCTCTGGCTGAAAGACAAGAGGGGGAGTGGCAGGCCGAGCCCCCCCTGCTGCCGCCTGGGTTGCTATCAACGCAGGCTGCCTGAAGAAGATCAAAAAGGGTCAGGAGGGAGACGAATTGCCCATGTGGCAGAAGCTGTGCAGGGAGACTGTTGGACAGAAGGCTAGCCAAGCGGTTGGTGAGTGGCGGAGCTTTGCTCAACTGGGCGAATACTGTGCCGTCAGGATACAAGCACGCCATTCACAGAGCAGCTCATGGAGAACATTCTCTAGTTCACAGTGCATCAGTTCTTAAGAAGAGCCACACTGGATCACACTAATGGTCTATTTATTTCCGCAGAGTTGCCAACTAGATGCTGCTGGCAAGCTCACCAGCGGGGCATGATATCAGCCATCCTTCCTCCCCCCCCCAGGCTGTGCCATTCAGAAGAGTACTGTATCTGATCACGGTTCTTCCATTAGGTGTCATGGCTAACATCTGTTGACAGATATAGTCTCCGTGAATTTGTTTAGTCTTCTTTTAAAGTCATCTTAAGCACTAGCCATAATCACAAGACTTTGTGACTATGAATGCCATAATTATGCATTGCATGAAGAAGTACTTTCTTTTTCTGCTCTGAATCTACAGGAAATCAATTTCATTATCAGAGAAGAAGAAAATTCTCTCTTGTCCAATGCACACAATATTCCCAAGAACGTGTATAACCAAATAACGGCCTATCTCATGTGGAAAACCATATCCCTCAACTGCTCCTGTTCTGTGAACAGAGCTCCCAGTCTTTTTATTTCTCTAAAAATCAGGAATGTGGTTGTTGGTGTAGCGTGCCTGCCCACACCAGTGGTATTAGGGTTGCTAGAAGTATCCAGCGAAGTAACAGTCCAAACAGTCTTGTGTAAAACTATTTACACATTTATTTACACAAGCTGTTTACATCAAGATACGCACTGACAGAGTGCTTCGCAATACACAGGTACATCAGAAGGAAGATACTCTGCACAATGCATGAACACTTATATACCAGTATTAGCCAATCAGGTAAAGACTGCTGAGTCACTCTGACTTGGTCACACAGTACAAGACAGAACAGGACAGAACCAGTTCACTCCTGCTGAGATGACTACCTAGAACTGTCAAGTAGATCAAACCCATCACCAGCTTATGCCTTATTGCAGCAAGTGAATGCTGACAGTGGTACTGTCAGCTATGCTGCCATGGGGGTTGAGGAGTTCATTCTGTGTCTTGTTAATTGCTATTGAATTCCTATCCCTGCTGTTTTGCCTTGGCTGAAACGCTTATCTCTACAGATGTGCAGGAGGAAGTTGTATTGTCTGGAGGTCTCCTCTGTACCGTGAGAGACTCCTGATTCCCAGCTTTAGCCACCTAACGGTTTCCTAACTTATCCCGCGCGCAGGAGGGTACCTAATTGGCCCATGCCATGGGGGTGTGTGTGCATACGAATGCCCTATATCCTATTATGCTCAATGGGTTGCCGCCATTCTTAACAGTGCCTGTGTTACTGCATCTATAGCTTTGCAATAAAAAGTATAACCGTTCCTGAATGCGTGTACTTCGTTGTTAGCTGTGGGTTCTGACATTCTGTTAAGAAACCTTCATTCTCTATCTCCGCGCATCTCTCCACAACCGAGATGAGCGACAAGGAGGAGAAATCTATTCTTGAGCAGGACGACTCCAAGGGGGTCCCCACTCCTACTACAACCGGGACGGACACCCCCACGACCCAGTCGATGGTGCCAGTGACTACCACGCCCACGGTAAAGGCAGCGGGTATGGGAGCTGTTCCTAAGACGACTTCGACCCTGGTGTTTCTGACCCTGACGGGACCGAGACGGCCGCCTGGCCATGGCTACCAGCCAAGCTCCAGCTGGAGCCACTTTCACCTGGACTCTACAGCAGAGACTTATATGCTCACGCAAGGGCCACCGAGAGACAGCCGGTTCGACCGGGGATTTTCCACGGCAGGAGGGTTCCCCCCCTTCAGGGCCCCATTTGAGCCATTGCCGGGGACCTGGGTGACGGAGAGGACAAAGGCAAGAAGTGGCTGGGTGTCCCCTGAGGAGGGTCTGGAACTGGCCCACAGGATGGAGGTGGCGGATCAGGAGAGAAGGCAGATGCAGCGAACCCTGGAGGAGGTCATCCAGGCAATCCAGCAGCTGGTGGTCCAAGCCATCCGAGAGGAGAGGGAGGCCCGACCAGTGGTTCCCACAGGGCCGGTTGTTCCGCCGGCCCCACCGCAGCAGTTGCCCCAGCCGGGGGAAGTCCCGCAACTGGGTAAGCAGGAGGTCCCGGCGCCAGCGCCACGTCCTGGCAGCCCAAGAGAACGGGTGGTACCTTGCCCGAAATACCTCATCGAAGCCACCTTTGATGGGAACCCGGAAGAACTCTCCTACTTTGTGGTCCGGGTGATGAAGTTTGTGGAAAGATCGAGCCACCTGTTCCCAGATGACAGCAGCCGAGTGGATGTGGTGGTGGCCTGGCTCCGGGGACCGGCGGCGGCCTGGTATGTGGGCTGCAGAACGCCCAAGGTCCAGAGCTGATGAATTTGGACGCTTTTATGTGGGCGTTGCGAGCCCAATTCAAGGATCGGAACGCTGGACCCAAAGCGAGGGCGTTCCTGTGCACCCTTAAGCAGGGAAAATGATCGGTGAGAGAATACTCTTCTGAATTTAAGCTACACGTGGCCAAAGTGCAAACCTGGCCTGATCCTGTGTTGGTGGAACTATACAGAGTGGGGCTGAATCCCGAGATTCGGGAGACGGTCTTGAAGGCTGTGGACCCCATATCCCTCCCATCTCCCTCCCAGTCTGTATGCAAGAAGGGGAGAGTGCGGAAACTCGTCGGCACACCCTACGTTTGGACATCGCTACGGCAGGAGGTCGACCTACCCCTCAAGCAACAAAGGGGAAACCGCCGTGGCCGGTGGAATCGGCTCGAGAGCAGCGTATGTGGCAAGGGCTCTGCCTGAAATGCGGGGAGCAGGGCCATTTTGCAGCTGACTGCGGCGGATCGGGCCCCGGGAAACAGGGACCTGGTGAACCAGTGAAAGGGCAGCCTGCCATGCCGGCAAAGAAGCCTACTGGAAAGCCAAAATATGCCAAAGCCTTGCAGGCGGCTCCTGAAGAAGGGGAGGCGGACTCCAGCGAAGACGACCACGAGCCGGCGGGAAACGGATTGGTCCTGCTGTAAGAGGCGCGGAGCAGCACGGCCTGATTCCGGAGGTGCCTAATGGGGTGAGCAGTTTCCCCTCCCTCTTTTTTGTGACTGTGACTTTGATTAACCCCAGCCGCGGCACGCATATATGGGTGTGAGCCCTAATTGACTCGGGGTGTGGGAGGGACCTGATCAACCCCTCCCTGGTTATGAGGTTGGAGGCTGAGGTGGTAAAACTAAAAGACCCCCTGATATTTACCCAAATGGATGGCTCGACAATGAAAGACCCGTGTGAGTATTAGACTGTGCCGTTGCGGATTGGGGCGGGGGAACACTGGGAGAATAGAGCGTTTGTGATCACCTCAACCGCCAAGTTCCCCTTAGTCCTCGAGGCCCCATGGTTGCACGGACACGACCCCTACATCTTGTGGGACGAAGGAAAAGTACAATTCATTTCTCCTAGGTGCCATAACCACCGGTGGGACCCGGAATGGGGCCAACAGCCAATAGCCGAGGGTCCTCGTGTGTGCCTAGCCAAGGAGGATCTGTTAATCATTTCCCCCCAAGTATCGGGATTTGGCTAGAGTGTTTGAGGAGAAAGAAGCAGATGAGCTCCCCCCGCATAGACATTATTTATTTTATTTATTTATTACATTCGATTTATATACCGCCCTTGACCCCGGAGGGTCTCTGAGCGGTTTACATACATACATACACACACACACACACACCTTTCTGATGGACTCCTCCGGTGCGTGGCCGCTTCCAACTGCAGCTCCAGCTTTTGTCCCTTCAGGCTCCGCCGCGCTGCGTCGTCATGCCATCACGCCGCCACAGCTCCGCCTCCATCCGGCCTCTGTCGCCGTCGCATCCTTGGATTGCCAACTGCTCTGCCGCCTCCATTACCACCACCACCGCCACCACTCCTGGCGCATGCCATCAGGTGGAGGGTGCCCCCTGCCACCTAGGGGCAGGTACCCATTTATCTACATTTAGACTGTAGCACTGAACTGTTGCCGGGGCAGAAATTGCCGAAGGGGCACATCTATGCAATGGGACCAGCCGAAAAGGAGGAACTGCGCTAGTTCATTGGCAAGAACTTAGCCCGAGGGTTCATCTGACCGGCTTTGTCCCCCTTCACGGCCCCGGTACTATTCCAAAAGAAAAGGGATGGGGGCTAAAACTCTGCATGGATTACCGGGGCTTAAATGCAGTGTCGTCTACTAATGCCTACCCCATGCCATTGATTAAAGACTTGCTCACTGAAGCGGCCAAAGGGAAAATATTCTCCAAGCTAGACTTTCGAGATGCCTACTTTCGGGTGCGCATCATGGAAGGGGACAAACATAAAACTGCTTTCAACACCCCCCTGGGTCAATTCGAATACCGGGAGATGCCTTTCTGCCTTCAGGGGGCCCTGGGGGTCTTCATGAACCTAATCAATGAAGTATTACACAAGCACTTGTTCAAGGGGGCGCTTGTTTACCTTGATGATATATTGCTGTACTCCCCCGACCTACCGTCACACGTGAAATTGGTGAGAGAGGTCTTAACCACGTTGCACAAGCACAAACTGTTTGCCAAACTGTCAAAAATGTGAAGTCATTGACTTCTTGGGGGATCAGATATCTGACCAGGGCCTGGGCACAAACCGGGGAAAGGTACAAGATGTGTTGGGTTGGGAGGTACCCCGAACCAGACGACAGCTCCAATCCTTCCTTGGTTTTGCGAACTTTTACAGAACCTTTTTACTCAATTTTGCCCAGGTCAGCTTGCCCCTCACAGATCTCCGAAAAACTAAGGGGAAGGGCCCTGAGGCTACAAAGCCGAGCGCCATGCTGCCATGGAGCAATGAGTGTCAAAAAGCATTCGATCGCCTAAAGGCTTTATTCACCTCAGAACCGGTGCTTGCCCACCCCGATGAAACAAAAAAAATTATTGTGCAAACTGATGCGTCTGATGTTGCTATGGGGGGCGATTTTGAACTGGTGCTCAATTCTAAAAAGCCATGCATTAAAATGTTCTTGTCTAAGTTTGTCTAGGATTGCATATAATTGGGCCATAATTTAGCAGTCCAAAAGGAGGGGGGGAGGTTTCTTTCTGCACTCAGAGCTTGAGACCAGTTGTTAAGTGAATTCTCAGCATCTTTTGTTGTTGCCAGCAGGCAGTGAAGCCTTGCAGTTGCTCAAGCAAGAGAAACACACACACAAAAAAAGAAAAAGTCCATTTAAACTTTAGAATTCACTCTGGGCCCATAACGCTATTGGTATATTTGGTTAATATAGCAGAGTTTGGTCTGTCACAGAAGCATGACACTGAGTGCAGTAAATAAATCTCCCAGGAAGTATATTGCAAAAAACTTACATTTATTCAAGTAGATCCAGTTCAAATTCAGGTTGCAGTCAAAAGAAGAGAAAGAAGCCTAATCTAAAGAGTACCTTCCCTGTCACAAATTGTAAAGGAAGGAAGATTGTCCGGCATCATGTGTGTGGGAATATGAGGGCACTGTGTCCACAGGAGAGACCTGCAGAGACCTGTGCCTCCATGGAGGGAGGGAGGGAGGGAGGGAGGGAGGAAACAGAGGGCAGAGGGCAGCTCCCAGGGTAAGACAAAGAATTTCAAGGAGAGAACACCTCTATGCCTACTTAGAGTGATGTAGCACCCCTCAGTGTCCAGTAGGGCTGCCAAGTGAAAACAATCGCTGTAGCGGGGGACATAGAGTTTTCCCTCGGATGGTCGTGGTCCCGCCCCCAGCGTGCCCGGCGTCGTCATGTCACTTCCTGGTGATGTGCACGTGGGGGGTGGGGTTCCCCCCCGGGGCCCGATCCGCTGGCGGCGGGGAACGGGCCTCTGGGGCGGTGGTTTCCCCACCTCCCGGGGGGACTTGGCAAGCCTAGTGTCCAGGCACGCTGAGTCACTCACTGCAACAATAATTCAGTTCAGTTCAGGACTGCAGGGGGGGGGGGGGAGGGGAAACCTTTCCTCTGCATTATTTTCCTCACCTAAAACTCACCAGGGCCTTTTTCAGATGAAAATAGCATGTGGGAGGAAATCCCCCCCCCCATTGCACAAAGGTCCTGAACCAAATTGCCCCCCCCCCTGAACCTTTTGCTTAGATAAAAATAAATGCTAGTTGTTCATCATTCACAGTTTGACCCCTCAGGTCATGAAGTTCATTTGGGTCTAGGGTTGCCAGATCTCGGGTGGGAAATACTTGTGGAGACTTTGGGGGTGGATCCGGGAGAGGGCGGGGTCTGGGGAAAGGCGCCACCTCAGTAGGGTACAAGGCCATAGACTCCACCTTTCACAGCAGCCATTTTCTCCAGGGGAAGAGAGGTCTTAGCGGTCTCTGGTGTCTGGAGATGTGTTGTAGGAGCAGGAGAGCTCCAGACCCCATGTGGTGGCTGGCAACCCCGTTTGGGCCAGTCACTCTCTTGGGCTGACCTACATCGGCTGCGGTCACACGGAGCATTAGGCACGCTAGAGAGACGGAAGATAGGTGGATTTTCCGGGCGCGATCTCACCGCCACATTTGGGAAGCGTAGAGCTCCCATGGTGAACCCGAGGCTTCCCGCCGAAGATGCACAGTTAAAAACTAGTACCTCGGAGGTACTAGTTTCCGGTAACCGCGGGGCAAGGGCGGGCGTCTGATCGCGTTTCTGGTGGTAGTTCCGGCGCCTCGTATAAAGTTTTTTTTCCTACTGTCCATGGGATGCACACGAGCACCCAACGGGGCATGCACACACTTTGGTGTCTGGAGAAAAAAACACCCGTTTGCCGCGCTGCTTCTTTGCCGCGGCGCAGGATTGTGGTGTGCTCGGCACCTCCCCCCTACCACGGGACCGCCATGGGACCGCCATGGGACCTCCACGGTATGTCTGCTGGCGCAACCGCACGTTAATTTGCCCCGGGGCAAACAGCCACACCTCCCCCCCCCCGCATTTTCCTGCCCGTGTGCCCGTGGCGATCATAGGGCTGTTTTGAGAATAAAATGGAGTAGGGGACAGCCACTTATGCAACCATGAACACCTTGGAAGAAGGGTGGGATAAAAATGTAGATACATTTATTGTAGAATTTCTTGGATAAATAAAATAAAGAATTTAAACTGTAAAAGAGGACAGCCTCACTGGTACCATGAATGTTGCCCATTCTGCTACACTAGATAGCTCAGAAGTGAAATCTGAAGGATATACAATAGCTTAGATGTTTCTAAGGAGTTCAAAAATATGTTAGAAGATTCTCAAATGGCTTCCAGGAAGAATCTGCCCTGCAGTATGAGATGTTGTAGCAGGGGAAACTTTCTGGGTTTCTGAGAACTACTATCTGATGCCATAGATAGTACACAGAACCCCAGGATATAGATACAGCAGAATCCAATGCAGAGCCTTTCTGGGACGGTACAAATTCAGATTGCAGATTCCCATAGCAATCCTGGGGTGGGGTGGGGGTCGAGGTAATGGCTGTGCATAGCCCAATGATGGGCCAGTGGGTAGTGCTCATTTTTGTTTCTGATGTGGTGTGTGTGTATGTGGGGGAAACAAGTTAAACTGGTTCCTTTTTTTACTGTGGACCTAAGAAGTCACTTGGTCTGGCTAGCTTCCCAGAGATCACACAGAGCCACTGGGGTCATCCACTGCATTTATTTTGACTCTTGGCTGCTTTGCCTGCTCCACACCAGAAAGTAATTAGCATCTCCACAATCAAAACACATTGGAGTGGGGGATTAAAAAAATACAGAGACAGAGAACTGTGGTCATGGATTCACACAGCCAAAACTGCACAGGGTAGCTGCATTCATGCAACAGGACTGGGGCCTTAGCCAAACTCCTCGGCCTGCCTCCAGCTCAGCTCATCAAGGCACCATCCTCAACAAACCCAGGTCTCGGTGTCTCCATCTCCTGGATGTCCACACCTGCTGCTGAATGCAGCTGAGTGAACGTCTAAATCTGGTTTTCAGAATGGCTTTCACCCTTTTCATTGAGACGTATCAACTCTGGCTTACTATGGACCCTTTACAGGCCAAGCTTCATGGCAAAACTGGAAAACCCAGGCCTGTTTCCTCATCCCCGTGGATGAATCCTTCCCCTAACTCATGTGTGGATGCAACAGTGAGCATCTGCAAAGAGACAGAGAGCTGCCACCCAAGGCCAGTAAGAGGAAAGGCATCTTGACCCTCCCCTCTCTTCCTCTATGGTGAAATCCAGCTCAACCCCCACCCCCACCCACACAACAGAAGCGCAGGGAAGCCTGAACAGGGGCACGTGTTTGCCTGACCATGGAAGAACAAAGGACATGGGTTTGGCAAACGTGTGCCTGTTTTGTGTGGGGTTCATTATTAGTGTTTTGCAGGCCTCAAGATGGGCTGTGGGCAAGAGAGTATTGAAGGAGTGAAGTGTGCACGTATGGAGTGGGAAGGAGGGCGTACGGGAAAGTGGAACTTCAAGGCGGCGTGCAGGGAGACGAGATGTCTGTGTCTGCATCAGTTCTGAAGGACAAGAAAAGACTATTGTGTGTCTGTAATCTGTAAGTGACAGAAGAGTACACGCTGCAGGAACGAATGTGCAGAGTGGGAGGTGAGGAGTGAATAAGGAGAAACGGCTAGTAGGTGCCTCACACTGCCAGCCTTTTCCAGACACCCGGCAGATGCAGATGGCAACAAACCCCAGGGGCCTTCCTACCAGTTCTGGATTTCTCCCTTCCTTGGTGTTTCAGGTTATTGGCTGCTCCTAAGAGTGGGACTGGGGGGTGGACACCATATGCCCCTTTACCCTAGCTTCAGGGACCCAAAATGCTCAAGAAGCGTTCCATCCCTATATTGTGTGTCAGCGACATACGTGGGAACTGAATTTTCCCAGTGCTTAAGCCTTCATTGCAGGCTCCAAGGCTAATCCCTCTTTTTCTTTCTTCTCCCAGCTCAGGTTGAAGATGCCCCACTTCCTAGGGCTGCAGACAGCATACTTTGTGTCTGCTGTTATTTAACAAAAAGGACTGGCTTATTCCAGGCACCTGACTTACACAGGGTGTAGATGCAGCACTTTAGGCATAACACACCAGGGAACTTCTGAGGTCCAAGAGAGGTGTTATTTGGTGAGGTGGCTTTTTTGCCTCGGCCTAGTAATGTCCTTGCTCCAAAGCCCCTCACATTTCCCAGAGTAAGTCACCCCTCCCTGACCATCCCACCGTAGAAAATGTTGTCAATCTGCCATTTTCTGTCATCGGGCACTGATTCACCCCTCTAAGGCAGCTTTCTGCCAGGGCTGGTGGGTGGAGTGAAGAACAGCGGCCAGTGCTGACGACTCTTCCTGATCCATGAGGTATATCAACCAGTCCCACCCTGGCTGGGTGGATGGGTGCTTGGCCCATCACACCCCCTGCCGGAATGTTCTGTGGCTCCTCCAGCAGGGCAGATGGCTAGGGCAGGTGGCTGCTGGCGCCACGGTAGGAGCGCAGTAAGACCTTGTGTTTGGTGGCCACCTCGTTGCGCCGACGCTGGTGCTCCACCAAGAACTCTTTCAGGCGACTAGTGGTGAAAGTGAGGGTCTGGCGCCGCAGCTTCATCAGGTATGCATCCTGGAGCCAAGGGTTGGCAAAGCAATCCTTGATGGCAGGGCGGCTCCTTCAAGGACAAGAAGTAGCAGTCAGAGACAGTTTCTCTCTCAGCCCTTTCTACCCTCCAAAGGAACAAGCGACAGGGCGAATCAGAAAGCAACTCCATGGAAAGCTCCCTGGTAGGAAAGTGGAGGGGCTGCAGTCAGAGGCCCAGCAGTCTTGTCTTCTAGGACTACCCCATTCTCTCTTACCAGCAGGGCTATTTTTGGGCAGGAACGCACAGGAACGGAGTTCCGGCTGGCTCCCAAGTTGGCCACGCCCAGCAGGAACTCCTTAGCATAATAGGCCACACCCAACAGCAGAAACTCATTAGGATTGGCTACAATTAGGGGTGTGTGGCCTAACATGCAAAAAGCCCTGGGTTTTGACAACAAACAAGGTAAAGAGAATAAGAAGCAAAAGGTTGGTGTGGCTGGATGACCACACTTCTGGTAACATGGGGGTGTGGTCTAGTATGCAAATGAGCTGTGCTGTCAGGGTGTGGCCTAATATGCTAATGAGTTCCTGCTGTTGGGTATGGCCTATTATGCTAATGAGTTCCTGCTGGGCTTTTTCTACAAAAAAGCGCTGCTTACCAGGAATCCTGCCGTGCAGTCTGGTTTACTGACCAGCAGGCACCATCTGACCTGGTTCTGCAAGAGGGGCCCTGTGATTTATAGTTCTTGTTCTACAGTGCTTAAGGCATGTATCTGAACACTGGAGGAAGTTCTTCCAGCCTAAGAAGCCTTCCTCCAACTGAAGCGGTTCAACTGTGGGAGGAAGAGCTACCTGTGTTGAAGGAAAGTTTCAAACTTTTCTCAGTGAAGTGGCAGGATACTGGTGGCCATCATATTTATACACTATAAAATCAAATGAGGATGATATCAGAGATGCTGGAATAGGACTGGCTTCTGGCTGTGCTGTATTACTGTTGATAATACTGAGAGCTCTTTTGACTCTAGCAGCTCCTCGGACCTTCTAAGATGCCAGACTGTAGGGTTTCCTTCCTTAGAGTGGGTACTAAGCAGTCCCATTGCTAGACAGGGCCCTGCTTTTTATCACAGGTGATAAATGATGGGATGGATCCAGCCAGCTTTTTCACTCAATCTCATCAAATTCTCCTCCTTACACCAGTCCCTGTCTCACATGCTTTTCAACCATGCAGGTCCCAAGATGCCTCTCTTGTGGTCAGATTGAACCCTCTCATCCCTTTCTCTCCAGTGGAAAAGCTGGATGGATCCAACCCTATGATCGCTGCAAAATCCAATTGCACAAAAGCATTCATAAAGAGAAACGCCCTTTCCATTACCTGAGATCTGGCTTAAAGCTCTCATAAATCTTGGATCGGGCTAATTTGAAATTGTCTGCGTCTGGCAGCTCTGCCCTGCCAGTGATGCTGCCCCCCCCCCCCAGACTTGTTCCTTTTCGTTTTCTACCACTTACCATGGATATGCAGAGAGGACCTTGCGAATGAAGAGTGCAGCACTCTGAGAGACATTGGGGTACAGTCTGAAGGCATCGTAGCGCCCTGCCAGAATCTTGCTCTCTGTCTCCAAGGGATCAGCTTCAAGGAATGGTGACCGACCACTGAGCCTGAGAGTAAGGTGAGAGAGCGGAGAGGGTGGAAAGTCACTCCCAGGGAGGCCATGATAGCACTCCTCTATCAAGCCAGCTCTGCAAACTACAGATGAAAAAGAGCACCTCCATAGGAAGTGCCATGTTGCATAGTTATGTATCAGAGCTAGAGATGTGAAGGCCCGGAAAAAAACCGGAAAAATTCGAGGGAAAACCGTTTTTTCCCTGTTTTTTTCCTGAAGCCTTTTTGGGTTTTTTTCCGAAAAATTGGAAAAATTGAAAAAAGAAAAGAAAAGGAAAAAAAAATGATTATGGAACGTTTTATTTTAACATGATTAATAAAATATTTTAAGACAAGATGTTCAAATATTTTCCAAATCATTTCTAAAATATATATATATGGTATCAGATTGATCTAATTTCTGTGCACTGAGGACAAGTAAGTCCTAGGTTACAAACTGAACTCTCCAATGCAAGAACAAGATGCATTTCTTCCTTTAGGAGGTATGATTGTCAGAAGAAAATAAAAAGGTTTCAGTTTTGTTTTTGCATGTGGGTGGGTATTCTGTTTGTAATAATTGTTTGGATACACTATATTTTTAATATGCTAGTTGTGATAATTTCATGCCAAGTAAAAATGTCCATAGTCATATTTTATGTTCCTAAAGTAACAGAATGACTTTCAATCTAGAAAAGACAAAAAATAGGCTAATGTAGCATTTTTTTCAATTTTTCCAAAAATTTCCGTTTCCCCCCGAAAAAACCCGGGTTTTTTTTCTGAGCTTCAAAATTTCCGGAAATTTTACATCTCTTATCAGAGCAAAGGTGTACCCGCTGGTGGAAGAACATCTAGGAAATTGCAAGAGTATGGCCTGCTCCTGTCCCTTTAGTGGACAAGGCCAGATGAGGCAGAAAAAGATCTGAGGCTCATTCTTTCTCCCTAAGATACATTTCTATTCCCCATCTCTGCTCTCCTGCAGGTCAGATTCTTGCACACACACCCTCTAGCCTTCACAGCCAATTACGTACATGATGAATGTGAGGACCCCCACACCCCAAACGTCAGC